AGAAAATAAATATTTTCAAATTAAAAAGTATTTGAACATTTTACCTCCCATAAACACTTCTTAATAAGTTACTCAAGCATGGGCGCCTGGGTGGCTCAGTAGGTTAAGCGTCTGCCTTCGGCTCAGGTCATGATCCTGGGGTCCTGAAACTGAGCCCCGCATTGGGCTCCCTGCTCAGCAGGGAGTCTGCTTCTCCCTCTCCTCCTGCCTCTACCTACCCCGCCTTGTTCAATCTCTCTCTCTCTCTCTCTCTCTCTTAAATAAATAAATAAATCTAAAAAAAAAAAAGTTACCTAAGCATGTACTCCAGCAAAATGAGGGCACAAATCAAAAGAGGAAGACATGAGAAAAGAAAACGGAAATGATGCTACTTCTGGCCATGGAGAGAAGTAAAGAGAAGTGCCAGGATGACAGCTCTGTTGGAGGCCTAGAGAACAATCAGAATCCAGAATGGCATAGAAAAATAAAGGAATCTGGGCATAAAAGCTTAGGGAAACAAGACTTGACAGAACTGATGGAATTTAGAGCCTAAAAAATTTTGAGAGGCAAATAATATATAAACAAATAAGAAGGCAATTAGAAATACTTGAAAAAATGTTTCAGAAAGTCAAGGTCCAATTATGAAGGTCCCATCCCTGCCACTCACATATCAGGTGAGTGGCAGGGATGGGATTAGAATTATGTGATTCTAAAACCTGTACTCCTGCCCCTACTCCATGATGCCACAAATTTAAACAACTGATTAAGAGTTTGAGGGGTGCCTGGGTGGTTCAGTCAGCTCAGGTCATGATCTCAGGGTCGTGGGATGGAGCCGCATCCAACTCTGTGCTTAGTGCTTGAGATACTCTCTCCCTCTCCCTCTGTTGCACACCCCCCCCAACTTGCACACTCACTCTCTATCGCTAAAATAAAAAATAAAATCTTTAAAACAAACAGAAAAAGAGTTTGATGGAAAGAAAGAATCCATTCAACTTTGGTGCTGGATATATCCTCCTTTGATTGCCCAGGAGTCCTGACACCAGACTGAATGTAACAGGTCTAAACTTTAATCTTAATATAAAAGGCAACGAATTATATTTATAGAAATGTAATAATGTAAATGTTGTCTCTAGATTTTCAACTTTAATAATAATTTATGAATACGAAGGTCAAGTTAAGAGCAAAGCACAAAACTTTTATTGGTTATGGGTTCAGGGCCTGGACCATTAAGGTGTCACGGACAGAGTGAATTGTAGAACAGGTAGCCCCCAAACCTCCTTGACTTGCAAAAAGGGGAGTCAAGAAATAAGTTGACAAAGAATAACAAAGGTGATCTAACAGACAAACTAAAAATAATATAAATACTAAATTTGGGGGAGGAAAAAAACAGTTTAAGGAGCTACATTCTCATTTTCAATCAGAAGTTAAAAGTCGATAAATCAAAAAATTGTGGTAAAAGCATATTAGGGTTAAGGAAGTAACAATCTAAGAATTAAATACAGAAACAGTTCAAATAAAACCTAAAAGGATCCCTCTGTGAGCCTTGAGGAGGTGAAGGAAACCATTGTTTCTCAACAAAGTCCTTCTGTACTATTGGACTTGTTACTAAGCGCAAAGATCGCTTTGTCAAAAATAATTTCTATGACACTTTTCAGAAAAGGGAAAACACCAAAATTATTACTAAAAACTGGGAGTGGCAAGCAAATGTTATCACTGAAATTATATTTAATAGTGGGGATAGCAGGCTCCTGGGTGGTTCAGTCGGTTAAGCGTCTGCCTTCAGCTCAGGTCATGATCCCAGGGTCGGGGGATCGAGTCCTGCATTGGGATCCCTGCTCAGCAGGTAGTCTGATTCTCCGTCTCCCCCTGCCCCTCTGCCTGCTTGTGCTCTCTCTGTCAAATAAATAAATAAAATCTTCAAAAAAAAAGGAATGGGAATAAAATATTTTTTCTTACAGAATGTTACTCAAATAGAATTTTTCTGTTAAGAATATAAAGTCCTACTGAAGCCAAACTGTTTTCTTCTTTATAATTCTGTTTTCTGGTTTATGTGTAATAAACATGTATCCCATTTATAACCAGAATTTCTTTTTTAATTTTTAATGTGATCAGTGGTCAAAGTCAGTGTGCCAGGTGGCTAAGAGTCCAACACCTACATGCCCCCAGCCTGATTTATGAGCTTTAAAGCGCAGCAGGAACAGGGCAGTAATTTTCAGGGGCCGTGTGTTTTAACATCAACCCTCTCCACTTGTGTATGCTACCCTAAAGAAACTCTGCAAAGAAAGGTGTGACCGCTCAGAAAAGGTCCCCTTTAAGAGGTAGCAGAAAGTCATTACATCATATACATAGCAACAATCTTACCTAAGAAAATCACAAAAAGCTTTTTAAAGCTTCTTAATGGCCAGGCTTTGTTTCCCATAAAGCTCACTGTTCAGCTGGGGAAGTGACATGGGGGATCAAAGGAAGGAGTGAGGAAAATGGAAAAGTGCTCTGTAAGTAGTTGTCAACAGATGAGAGGTCCAGTCCAGGGTCTACCATTAAATAACCACATGACTTTCCCAAAGTCACACAGTCACCCTTCCCTGGCCTTGGGTTTTCTAGCCAAAAAAAAACAAAACAAAAGAAAAAAAAAATCAAACCTGACCCTGGTCCAATCTGAAATCCTTTTAATTTCTCATTTATAAAAGCCTTGACTGACAGAATCAATGATAGGATGGATGCCACTGTTAGCCCCATTTCACAGATGATGGAGCAAAATAGATTTTATGACAATCAATTCAGGGTCAGTTGCCACTATTTTTCAAGCTTCTATTTAATCCATCAAAATATGTTGCCTTTGGAGGCTATGCAACGAAGTATGATACACAACATTTAACTTACTCCAACTTTAAACAAAGCCCCCCAAAAAGCTCAGATAATTCCTGGCAGATTGCTTGTCCTGAAAGACAATAGTCACAATGACTTAATTTCTTAAATTCCTTAGCTACTTGGCCAGAAAGTTTCCAGGGGCCGCATCAAATCAGGCTAGCCTACTACCTACACATTTTTTCAGCTGTGGTCTTCACTGACTATCCAAAGTGAAAGAAGATGTACTTTGCTTTGGGCTGCAGGGTGGTTGTAGTCGGGGGGATGGACAAATGAATCTGAGCAACTTTCTCTAAACCCGAAGCTAACTTCCATTTCTGCCCTGGTTTCAATCATTCCATCATCATGCATTTGTGCATAAAAGGGAATTTTTTTGCTTTGGGGGGGGGTCCTTTTTTTCCTAGCTTTCCTCTAATATCAGGCAAGCCTCTTATTTCATATTTTGAATAACCACAGTTATACTGATCATATATCATATACTTGTGCAGGTGTATATTCATAAGCACAGTTTAAGTCATTTGGGACCAAAAAAGATCCCCCTAAATTACTCTAAATTATTGGACCATTTTTCTATTTGCATTTATTACTAAGTCCACTTCTATAAAAGTCGCAATAAATACTCAAAACCGCACTTACCTAAGTAAACTTAATACAAGATCATTCTGGAGCTTTATATACCATAGAAACTAATGTCAGCCTTCAGAACAGTATCATCACATTTAGAAAAATGTCACGTTATTACATCACATTCTTGAATTCCACCAGCCATTTAGAAGTCAAAGCATTGAGTACATGTCCACACTAACACTCAAAGCCTGGGGAAAGGCCAGTTGTGGAATGACCATCAAGTCTGTTTCAGGACAAGTGCTTCTCAGCATCACACCAACCCCAGAAACAAAATAAAGAACTCCTCCTTGCACAAGATGTCACCAGCATTGGGATGGGGAAGGAATAATTGGTCACCAGTATGAGTCAAAGAGTTGACTATAGCAAACCTCATCCATTACTGTGTATTTGTTATAAAATCCAACTGACAGCAATCAAATACAAGTGACAAAGAAGGGCTTGATTATAGTTTTAAAAGAGCACATAACGTCCTAGCATAAGTTTTAAACTAAGGCTTCTCCATCAAAGCAATTTCGGCTTTAAAATAAAGTCTAAGGCAGGTTCTAAGAAGCGAAGTTTCTTTCCATGGCAGTGAATGGCCAGTCAGTGCAGGCAATCTGGAACCAAGTGGACCAGCCGCTGGCACAACCTGCAGCCAGGCCATCAATAGCCTGACCCCCCTTGACCTCACTGGTTATGTTTCAAGTTCCAGCGTGGTTTCTCCTCTGGAACATAATTATCTTAGGGTACCACAACTGAAACAATCTTCTTTATGTCTGTGAATGTATTTTCCCTTACAGTCTAATGTAAAAATCATCACATCAGGAAAGCCCTAACAACGTGAAAGGGAAGAGTAACAACAAAACAGGCTCCTGATCCGCTGGTATTTTAGGTTACTAACTGCAACATAATGTAACTCCTGACCCAATTTCCACACAATTGATTTTCCAGCCCATAACTACTTCACCACAGAGTTGCTAATTACATCACTGTGCTGTGTGGTCATTACATCACTCAGCTGGGAGCAGAAAGGCCTACCAGGCAGTGTTCACTTTTCTAGCTTGCTTTTCCTAAGAATGGAGAGACTGCAGACCACCTACACTACCAAGAGTCCCTCTCCTTCCCAAGCCTCAAAAATGTTCTAGAATTTATCTCTGTGTCACATCCCAATGGACCAGGCTCTGGGGCATCTGAGTTGGAGTGGACAGGTAAGGGCGTAAGGGTTTGTGCCCAGAAGTCATTATTCCAGATTCAGGGCAAAGTCACCTATGTGTTTCATGAGCATCACCCCAAAACTACTTTTTTTCCTCCTTCTACGAGTTTCCAGGTCCCCAATCTTTTGGAAATTCCAGGACCCTGGAAGAACCTCACCAGATGCTCTTCTTCTGACCCTTTACCATTCCAACACCGAGACTCACTCCCTACTTCCATCTTCCCAGATCTTTTGGAAACAAACGTGGAAGGACACACACACCGCGCGCGCGCGCCCCGCAACAAGCATGCGCACCCTGGGCACCGTGACTGTGCCCCCTGACTTCGGCCTGACTTACTTGAGGAAGTACCTCTGGCCAGTGGCCGTGAAGGTCATCTCCCAGCCCGGGGGCAGCGGCAGCTCGTCGGTCACATCGTAAGACTGCTGGCGGAGGTGCGCATGCTGCTGCGCTGGACTGCCTGCAGCACCCGCGCCAGTGCCCAGCTGCAGGGACGCGGGCGACGAGTGCGAGCGGACGTGCTGGGCGCCGCTGGCCAGCCGGGGCCCCGGGTGGCCGCCGGACGAGTCGGTACTCGACTGGCGCGAGTGCGAGCCAGAGTCAGGCTCCTTGAAGAACGACTCGGGCAGGATCTTCTTCCGCCACGAGCTGGGCTTAGGGTTCATGACCGAGTTGAAGAGGGCTTCGAGGTCCGTGTCTAGGTCCTGCGTGACGTGGATCACTTGCTGCCCGGGTGGCGGGAGCGGGGGGGGAACCGAGGCCGGATTCATCTTCTGCAAAGAGAAAGGTCAGATCAGCCTTTTATTTAAAGTCGGAGGAAGGAGTCCGGGGGCAGAATAGAAACAAAAGAAAAAGAGGCGACAGATAGGTGTCCGCCTCAGGATCCCAGACGCTCAGCGGTAAGGCCAGCCGGATGGGGGAGGGGTCCCTCCTGGCCTGGAGAATTATGCAACTTTCTTGAAGCAAGTAAGTTGCCGGGAGGAGGACGAGAAGGAAGGGCGGGGGTTGGGGGGGGAGTAACTGCACTCGGGAGGTGGCTGAACTGCTGGTGGCGAAGGACAGGTCGCAACTTTCCCGGGCAGGCAGCCCCCCCCAAAGTCTCAACCCAAGCCAGCTCCACGACATCGCGACTCCGGAAGCCCGAGGAGCCCAGGCGCCCTGGGGTGGAACGGGGTGAGCCGGCGCGCTCCAGCGGGCTCTACCTGGGCGCGCAGCGAAGCGGAGTCTGGGCGTGCGGCGGCCGCCGTCCCGCCCGAACTCGCCGTCGGGCCTCAGTCGTTCGCGTGCGTCCCGAGCTCGCCGGGCTGTAGCCGGGGCCCGGCTGGCAAATCCCGACTTGGTGCCTGGCAGCCGAGGGGCTTCGGCTCTCACATCCCCCGAACTGGCCTCAGGCGTTCGTGTTCCGCGAGAAGGAGGCGGAGGAGAAGCAGACAGCGCGGCCGCCGCGGCTCCCGGACTGTCCCATAAACAAAGTTTGGAGCGAACTCCCACTCCCAGAAAAGAGGCGGGCCCGAAAGTTGAGCTGTTGAATTATGCATAACCTCCAAGTCCTGAGCCTGCCTGCCCCCGCTCGTCCCTCCCCTTCCTTCTCCTCCTCCTTCTCCTCCCCCACTTCGGCTCCAGAGAACCCTGGGCGTGATAGGTACTTTGCTGGGTAAGAGGAGACGGGTGCCCCCCATCCACTCCTCCCGGTCGTGCGGACCTTTCCCGCGGAGCCCTGGACCTGCATTCCTTTGAGTTTACCGCGGACTTAGGGCGGGATCAAAGGGAAAGTGGCCTGCGCCTGTTTAATCAAGGGCTTGCGGACCGAAACTAAGGCTGGGGGCGGCGGAGGGCACGCGAGTGAGCGGCGCAGGCCGAGGAAGGGCCGGTCCTGGCTGCCGCGCCCTCCCTTCGTGCTTGGTGCGGAAGCCCGGAGCGCCCAGAGCGCCGCGCCGATCCGAGGTTCTGCCTGAGGGCGGGCTCGGGTCCGCCCTGGCGCAGGGAGACAAGCCAGCCTTTCCACGGGAGGCTGCTTAGCGCTTGTGACCATATTTGGTCTGGCGAGGAGGCATCTTGGCTGTTTGGCTTGCAGTTGTCTGCTAGAGCGCAGACGGTGCCCAGAAAGTGCCTCTGTCACTAGAGCTGCGGCTTCGCCAGTGGGTGCGTTGTAAACAAACAACCTTGAAACCATTCATCAATCTTTAGTTTCCTTGCGTGACTTGGGTCACTAGAACTTGAGAAGAAACCTGGTCAAAGCTGGGTACTGAAAAGGGAGAGCAATCGCACCCCCCTCCCCCGCGACATCCGCGCGGGTTGTGGGAGGATTGGAATGTCCCTGACGCCCTCCAGAGAGCCTGGAGCCGGGATGGAACCAGAGCAGGTGGCTGGGAGTAGAGAGGGTGCGCCCGTGACCCGGAAAAAACCACCCACCCTCCCACCGGCTGGATCTAGGAGAGGGGTGGAGACCCCCAGCCCCTAGATCTAGCTTGGCAAGACAGCTGCGGGAAGTGGGAGGCAGCCTTGGCCTTCGGAGCAGCTCAATTCCTTCTTCCCTTGTCCCCTCTCCACTGGAGGGAAAGGGAAAGCGGCTGCGAGGTAAGTAACGTTTAACAAAGTCCCTACCCCATGCCATTTGATTCAAACAGAAGTTTTTCGAAATAAGTCAAATGAGGCAATATATGTACAGACAGTCGGGACTTAACAGTGGTTGGACTTAACGATTTTTCCACTTTAGGATGGTGCAAAAGGGATATACATTCAAACTTTACTCAGAATTTTGAATTTTGACCTTTCCCCAGGCTAGTGACATGCCCTGCCATATTCTCCTGATGCTGGGCCTGGGCCGCGGCAGCCACAGCTCCCAGTCAGCCCTGCCATCAGAAAGGTAAACAGCTTACACTTAACAGCCATTCTGTTACCATATAACAATTGTCTTTCACTTTCAGCTGTAGTCAATAAATTACTTGAGATACTCAACACTTTATTATAAAATAGGCTTTATGTTAGATGATTTTGCCCAACTGTAGGTTAATGTAAGTGTTCTGAGCACATTTAAGATAGGCTAGGCTAAACTATGATGTTTGGTATTAAATGCATTTTCAACTTACGGTGTTTTCAATTTACAGTGGATTTATGAGGACCTCATCCTACCTAAATTGGGAAAGATCTGTAAAACACTTAGAACAGCACCCAGCCCATCCGCATACCTCTCCGTTAAATAAAATAGAATTGTATTAAGTGCAAGTATTGCACCTCACTATTTTTATAAGGGTGAAATAAAGTCAAAATCTGGAGTTACTTTGAAGGAGAAAAGTTTACAGGAAAGACAAGACCACCCCATAGTTTTGCCTTGGAAAAGGCCAGGGAGTATTTCGGGGCCACTCCCTGAATGGCTCCTCCCTGTCATGCCCACAATAGAACAGAGCCCACCAAAATGAGGCACCTGTCACCCCATTATCTGTACTTGAGGGTGTGCTCTGATTCCAGACTCCCCACAGAGTGGGAAAAATCAGGGCTGCCTTAGAGAAAGACAGCCACATGGGTCACCTTCAAAGATAAGCAGAGCATAAGCTCCTCTCCAGAGACTCTGGAACCCCAGATTTCCCATGCAGCAAAATCCTCTGCCCATAGGACCAGCAGAAGGAAGGGGGAAGCGACACGTCACTCCACTGGAAATAGTATCAGCAAGCTATCGTCAAAAGCCACCACAGTTATGACAATGGGGAAATTAGCTATGGAACTAGAGGAAGTAAACGGACGAAGTGGTTACTAATCAGAAGCTGCAAGGCCAACTTGATGATTAAAGGATGGAAACTTGAGGCCAGCCCTACTCCAGGAAGGTCCTCACCCAAGAAGGAAGGGCCTGCTTTATAAGGAGTTATCTGGCAGCTACCAGAGAAGAAGAAAATGCTGAGGGAGCTGTGAGAATCAGGGTTGGGATTGGATGGGCAAGGATGCTGTCTTCATTCCTTGCCAAGCTTCAAGAAATAGATGGTGAAAGACAGAGAAGTTGATGCCTGAAGAGGAAATTGCCCAGATCACAGGATAACTCAAATGGAAAACCCCCAGTTCCCAAATAGCCTATGTGATGTGATGGTGGATGGCTGAAGACATTTGCTCCATCCTTCAAAAACAACAGCTTCAGATGACATAACATTTACGGATGCCTTGTATGTGTCAGGTACTACCCATGTGAGGCAGCACAGTGTAGTGACTAAATGTATAATCTCTGGAGCAAAATACCTGAGTCACCTCAAGCAAAATACTTGAGCTCTCTATTCCTGGGTTCCTCCTTTGTAAATTAGGTGCAATAACAGTACCCACTTCACGGGGTCCTAGGTTAAAACATGACAAATTTTATCCATTGACCCATGATAGAACACAAGTTTTGAAGTGCCTAGCTCTACTCTTCATTGGGCGGGTAACTTAGCTTCCCTAAGTCACAGATTATTCATTACAAGTTGGTGATAATATTGTGGTAGTCCGTGACATTGCTGCTTTTCAGCGGACCATCCTCCCTTACGGAGTCCCATCCAGTGTAAATCTGGACTAGGCTGGTGACTTGCCTTAACCAGGAAAATACAGCATTGAATATGTGCTAGCTCCCCCAACCCCATCCCACCCCCACCTTAACCCCTAAGAAGGTGTGGAAGTTTCTATTTTTGTACTTTTGGGACACCTGAGTCCCTAGATAAGTCCAACTACCCCGCTGGAGAAACCACATGGAGAAGGAGAGGCCCTGAGATATGTGGAGAGAGGGAGAAGTCCAGCCACCCCACTTCTGAGCTGAGCCCAGCCCCTAGCAGCCCATCAGCTGACTGCAAACACATTAGTGACTACCATCTAGATGAATAAAAGAACCACAGAGCCTAGCCCGGCCCAGACTGCAGAACTGTGAGCAAATAAAATGGCTATTGGGTTAAGCCACTAAATTTTGGGATTTTTTTAATGCAGAATGAACATTCTAAGGATTAAAAAAGAAAATGCAATTAAAGTTCTTAACACAAATTCTGTTACATACTAAGGCACTCAAATGACGGTGATTTAAGCCTCATGGAGGCCCAAAGAATAGATAATATATTTTATATCCCCATTTTACAGATAAGGAATCTGGCCCAGTGAACTCCAGAGCATTTTGTCTAAGTACATACAATGAATTCATGAAAAAACCCTCAGATTCAGCCAAGGATTAATCCTAGATCAGAGTGCTTTTTCTATTCTCCCATCCTGTGCGAGTCACCATTTGCTCCCTGGTATTGTCATTTTAAATCAGTGTGCTACCTCCTGCATGCCTATCTCATAGAGAAACTCCACAGTTTTTATAAGATAATCAATTGAGAGTAAGTAGATTTTTCTCCACTTGCAAAGACTTTCCACTAGAAGTTGATTCCTGCTTCCTAATCTTCCCCTCAGCATACTTCCTACTGAAAGCTTCCCTGAGCCATCCATCCCTCCTCCCTCTCTGTCTCCATCCAAGCAACAGCAAGTGATTCTTTATCCTGGTGTCCCTCAAAACCATCCTTCCCTTCCTGCTCCCACAACAAGACCTTATCTCAGAATGCTTGCAGTGGCCTCCTACCTGGTTTCTCTGCCTCCGGTCTCTCTTTTCTGGCCTCCTATTTTCATGATGTCATTCCCCAGCTCACAAGATTTTAACAACTGCCCACACGAATAAAGGTCAGAGCAATCAATCTAGCACCCAAGGACTTGCAACAAACTGCCATCTTCATTTTTGCTTTCTGACCTTGATTCTTACCCAAATGTGTCTTCATCCACTCCAGCCAGGCTCTGACCCAAGCATATTTAGCCTATTCCTTCACTACATATATCTCTATTTGAACCCTGCTCAAAACTGCCCTCCATATTCCATTGTCAAGCCTCCATTAGTCTCTCTCCCCTAAATTCATATTATTCTTGTCTTTTTCTTTGTTTTCTTGTCTGTTTCTTTGACACATAATCATATAAAACACTGTCTTATATTCTAACTTTTACCTCAGTTATCTCTTGCCTCCTGGGGCTAGAAGAATCCTACATTTCTTTATGGAAATGCTCCTTTGAAGCCCATAATTCCTTGAGGGCATGATGATCCTTACATGATTTTGCCTATTTTTCTTTTAGCACCCACTGGTGTACTCCTAACAGTTTGTATGGTAGCCTCTTACCATTCGTTACAGTTTTGGGACTTCATATTGAATCAGCTCTCTAAGAGAATTGCAAGCTCTTTGAGGACAGGTCTAAGAGGGCTTCGTTTTCTTCCTGTTTTTCCCCACACCTGAGAAGGTGTTCCCTACACAGCTGGGTTCAGTACCGGTGGTCACCCAGCCCAATGGCTGTTGTCTTGACTTTGTCATCTGCCATATTTGCCTCAGGAAAGCCACAAGCTGCTTTCTTCAGCCCTACCCCTCTGAATTGCTGACTTGGTGTGGGTGACTGATCCCTGCTAAGACGAATGGTCAGAAACTTGGTGGGGTGGATAAGTTGTTACAGGATCCAGCCCAGAAGCCCTTGAGGCAGAACCGGCCTGGGCTTGCTGAACTAGTCGA